CAGGAAAATTAAGCAATACTGCATATGGTAACTTCATAAGGTAAAATGCAGTATATAATTATCAAAACAATTCCTTGATCGATTTTTAAACAGATATTAATTTATTAAACATATTTTTTACAATAAAAAAAATTATATAAAAAATAATATAAAAAATTTATACTTATATCATCAACCGACATATTTTCTATTTTTTTGTTGCAGCGGGCGGTGGGTCACCCAGCTAGGATGTCCACTTTTCGGTGGCGTTAAGAAAGCAAAATATTCCTACCAACATTAAATGATAATAAAAACATGTTTTACAGATAATTTTGACATTTAAAGAGAGGTTGCGCGCGGCGGTATCGCAGAGGTACTTAGGCTTCGAGCAAAAAAGGAATTAACAAGAAAAATGGTTGTTCTTCAATGCGGATCCGATCTTTGCTCGCCGACCACCTCATCCTCTTTATGCGACTTCAGTCCTCCACGACGGCTCTCCTTTTGGTGCCCGAGCCACGGTCGGTGTCGGATCGTCACTCCTCCGAGGCCAATTGTGGCACTGGCAATGAAGAGGAACGCCGACAAGATTACGAAACCCTCCATATGTACCGCCGACGAGCTCCACTACGTCAATGTTCACAACTCAGATTGGCGCCTCGCTCTTTGGCGCTACTTGCCTTCTCCTCAGGTTACTTTTTCTACTCACACGTATCACTAGGCCTACTTTATGCCGTATTGATTTGCAATTTGCAGGCGCCGGAAAGGAATCATCCGCTGCTGCTGTTGTCGGGGCTCGGGACCAATGCTATTGGGTTTGATCTCTCTCCTGAGGTCAGTTTCCCCGTCTTTCTAATTTTTCTTTTGATAGCATCTATTCTTCCTGGTTGCATTTGATGGTGTTTTAAGTTGATGTTCATGAATTTTATGATGAGTAAAACGGATTTCAGTCATCTTTTGCACGCTTCATGTCCGCCCAAGGATATGATACATGGATTGTTGAACTCCGTGGTGCTGGCTTGAGCGCACAAGGTGTGGAATTTGGAGAAGGTGCTAAACCTTTTAATGCTGGTCTTACATTCAAAGGGAAGAGAAAGAAAATGGTCTTCAAATCCAAGGAATCAACTCTACCGTCAAAACTATTGGAAATGGTTACCCATTTAACAGGTAGACTCTGTAGATTTCTTATCAAGAATTAGTCTCATAGGGTATGCAAATCTGGAAGGACTTTAGTCATATTTGGGCATATTTTCAGAAGAACAGGGAAGCTCTGCTCCGGTGTACCAAATTAACGATTTCATTCAGAAGCTTGTAAGTGTGATTGAAGATGGTCAAAGATCGTTTCCACCACCACTTTCGGATGTTCAAGGACATCTTTCTACAACACTAAAAGATTTCCAAGAGCAACTGGATCTTATGTTGAAGTATAATTGGGACTTTGATCACTACGTGGAAGAGGATGTACCTGCTGCGGTAAGTGACATGTCTTGTATAAATGGATTTATAATTGGCATGTTCTTCATTATTTCCACAAGACAATCTTCTTTTAAGTAGCAGACAAGCCTTAGTATAGAAAACTTATTGATCTAGTATGCAATGAAAATATTATCTTAGATGGAGTACATAAAGGCTCAAAGCAAACCAAAGGACGGAAAGTTGCTTGCAATTGGTCATTCTATGGGGGGGATCTTGCTATATGCAATCTTATCACGATGTGGTAAGAGTCCATGCAAAACTTTCATGTATGTACCATCTATGACCTACACGCTGAGGAAACTATTGAAGCATAAAGAACTATCTAAACTTTTACCTTTTGATATTAAAATGTATTTTATAGGGCCACCAGGTTGTATGTTTAGGATTTACTATTTTGTACAAGGCATTAGTATCCAATAGAAGAAGTAATAGAAAGGGGCTCTCTATGTTGCTTCTATTAAATTGGCCTTCAAACGATGACCTTTTGCAATGGTTTTTTTTTTTAAGGTTTTGAAGGGAGAGATTCTGGGTTGGCATCAGTCACTACTTTGGCATCATCACTTGACTATTCATCTTCTAAATCATCACTAAAACTGCTTTTACCTCTGGCAAGTGTCATTCTATCTTAACTGCTTTGGATAACCCTAATTGTTTCACAATTAAACTTATCTTTCCGTGCAGAGCAGGTGGAACCTGCACAGGCCTTGAATGTTCCTGCCATTCCACTAGGGACATTGCTTGCTGCTGTGCATCCTTATGCAACTCATCCTCCATACCTCCTATCCTGGTTAAACTCTCAAATTTCTGCTCCTAAGATGATGCATCCAGAGTTGCTTGAAAAGCTGGTTTTGAACAGCTTCTGTAAGTAATAAATTCTCAAATTTACTTTGACTTGCTGATTTACAAATGCCCTTTGACATTGATGTGTTAAGGTGACTTTTGGTATTAATGTCTAGTGCTCGTAGAGTAGAAGTTATTGAATTCTTTTCCAGCAGGGGACACCTTGAAGTTATAAATTTTTTAAATCCACATATATTATTTTAGATTTTGTGAGGCATTCCATATTTCCATATAAGGGTTGCTGGAGGATAGCTGCTCATTTTTTGTCAACAAAATTGCTATATTCTTGGCTGTAATTCATTAGTATATTGTTGTATGGACTAATAATTAAGGTATGTAAATCTGCAAGCAATATCTGGTTAGTTATTTAGATTACAGCACTGAATTCTCTTTGCAATCCCCTTTCAATAACTAACCGCTGCTGTTTTGATGTTGATGGTTGCTCTGATGATTTACTGTTGTCTAAGAAAATTTCTAGGACTTTCACAAGTCGATGACATTTTACTGCATCTCACTTGCCAGATATCTGAAATATATTCTTCCACTATATGGAATTAGGGGGCACTTTTATCCCTTGTCTCTTTTACCTGTTGAGTCCCATGATTTGATCTTGTCCTCAATTTCATGCCTGACAACAGGAACCCCATTCCCCTGGTTTAGCAGTTCTAAACATCAGAAGTTCTTTTCATATCATATCTACCTTGAGCTTAAAGTGAGGGTTCAAGCAGCTCACTTTGACTGCTAAGTGCAGCCATAACCTTTCTGCTAATTTGACTTGTAGATATGTGATCACTCTAGAAAAAATAAGAAGCAAAAGTTCAATTTTAGTAGACAGTCAACTCTACCTATGACGTTGTCTCTATGATTGCTTTAATATGCCCCTTGTAGCAGCCTACCACCACTTTTAACCACAATTTGCATTAAAACTTCAAGATAAGTAGCCTTTCAGAATCCTTGTTCATATACCAATAACTATGGCATTAAAAAGCATCTGGTGTATTTGATACAATAAATAAGTCCTGGTTGCTGAATGTTGCTTTAATTTTTCACTAGATCACTAGTTTGTTTGGCCTCTGGCATTATGAAGTTTCCCTATTGTTTGCTTTTATATCAAGGAGTGAATGTTATTAACACCAGCTGCAAAATGCTGCCAGCAAAACCTAATTTGAAAACTTCCCTTGCCACTTGGCAAAGTTTCTGATAAAATTTTTCTGACCATTATTATGATGACTGTTTTAATCTTAATTTGCAGGCACAATACCTGCTAATCTTCTTTTGCAGCTAAGAACAGTTTTCCATGACAATGGATTGTGCGATAGAAGTGGGACTTTCTTTTACAAGAATCATCTAGGCAAAAGCAAAGTTCCTATCTTAGCACTTGCAGCAGACCAAGATTTGATTTGTCCTCCAGAAGCTGTATTTGGTATGGTCTTAATTCATATACTGTAAACCTTTTTTATTTAAGGATGCCAACTTTGCCCTTTTCTATTCAAGAATATCAACTATGCATTTTCCATGTCATCATCACCATCAAATTAATCCTTAAATAGAAAAAAAAAAAAACAAAGAGTAAAGTTGACATTCTTAAATAGAAAAGAGTTGAAAGTTTAGCACTTTAATTAGAAATTAACAAAGTTTGCGCTCTTAAATAGAAAAAATTACAAAGTTTACATTCTTATCTGAACCTTTTCTCAATTGTTACATATTGGATTTAATCTGCAAATTGACTATTTTTTTTCCGTCTCTTTTCTCAATGGGGCAGAAACAGTGAAGCTCATTCCTCAGCCTTTTGTTGCTTACAAAGTTTTTGGAGAACCAGGCGGCCCACATTTTGCTCACTATGACATAGTGGGTGGCCGTCTAGTATGCATTTACCTTAAGCTTCTGTTGTTATATAGTTCTCTATATTTGATAGAAATTTGTTTCAAACTTAAATTGATTTGTTAGTTAACATTTTCTCCCTACTCTTTACCCTGTTCCTAATGCAGGCTGTGGATCTGGTGTACCCATGTATAGTTGAATTCCTCAACAATAATGATATGGCTTGATTCTGCAGTATCACAACTTTCATTGACCTGCAGTTAGGGTTCATTGATCATTCTTTATTCCTGATAAATGGAGAAGCTGACATGCAGAATCTTCATCAAGGGTTTCATTTCGAAATACTCATACTAAACCTTTTATACACATTATACACTTCAAGACTGTACAACTACACAGGAATTATGTATCACACTGTAAATACAACACATAAGAGCCCTTCAGTAGTCTCATATGAAAGATACGTTTGAGGAAATACAACACTTGTACTAGGATAACACTCAAGAATATTGACACTGTAAAATCTTTATACTTGAATTCCCTTTTATAATATGAAAGATAAAAGGAATGGTTTCTGCTGATTGCAATGTATCTTTCTTTATTGTTGCTGTTATATATGCATTCTCATCAGCAGTATATAGTTCAGTTAGATAAGGCAGGATCTGTAGAATCTGGCTGTTGATGGAGCAGCACTAGTAACTTGTGAAAGGGTATATGCTGAAGCATGTGACAAGGCAAAAGGGGCAGCTTTGGAGAGAGCAACTATTGAAGCTCGATAGAGAGCAATGGCAGAAGCTCATGAAAGATTAGAGAAGGCATATCTGCAGAGGCTAGGGAGAAGTCATCTGCAGAGGCTAGGGAGAAGTCATCTACAGAGGCTAGGCTCGGAGCTGAGCATGCTGCGGTAGAGAAAGCAACCGCAGTGGCTTGGAAGTGTGCTGTGGAGAAAGCAATTCCTTAACTTACTGATGCAGGTACATACTAGGCCTTGCGCCTAAATCAGCAATCCAACTCTTGTAACCTAAACAAATCGTTCAATGCCATTCCTCCCATTGTGAAAAAAATTACGAAAGTCAGAAAGGTTGGTACTAATTTCTTATTTTACTGTAAATTTTAATAGAATATGGAAGAGTGCACATTTTATAACTATTAATTAAAAGCAGATTTTTTGATATTGAGATCATCCTTCTTTTATCAATAATTATAAAATGTGCAGTTTATGTAAAACAGATCATAAAACTAAAAACTTAAATTTTTAAACATGTTTAAAGGGAGAAAGAAAGTAACCTACGAAACAAACTTGAGTGATTGCCTGATTGCAAACGTGCAAGCTACCAACTTTTTGGTAAATCAATCTTTGATTATTTTGTTTTGGTATTTCTATCTTGTCCTTTAAGAGAAATATTTCAGCAATAAAAATGATCATGTTTGGTTTTGTTGTTAGAAAATAGTTTATAGTTATTTTTTTATTTAATCAAGACAAATTAAGGTATTAAAATTATAGATAAAAACAATACAACCAAAGCTAAATTTTCAAGACATGAAAAAATTCAGAGCTAAATTCTCATGACATAAAATAATTCTTCAGTGCTATAGGATTCACATCAGCTGTATCCCCAACCAATAGGAGCCTATTATGTCATAGGTTGCAAGTTCCATGTGAAGAACTTGGTAGTGTTGGGGTATTGTCATGACTAACAAGCAAAATATTAATGCTATTGAAATAAAATTTTGTCTTTAAAAATGTTAATTTTATTTAATTTAATTGATAAAAATAACTAATAATTATAATTATTAATTAATAATTGATAAAATAATTAATATTTATTGATTAACAAAATGATATTTTCAAATATAATTTAAAAAAGTTAAAATTTAACGACCCTAATACTTTCATATATGATGGCAATAACCACACCGTTGGTGTTACGATGGAAAACCTATCATGTAATAGGTTCCTTCTTAATGTGTCTAAAAATTTGTTGAAATGGCTGATTCCTTGGGGTTACCACGTAAGAACCGTGACGTGGGGCAGTTGAATTCGAAGACTTCACCAAAACATGAGGTGGTAATAGTTTTTATAGAGTATTTCATTTCATTCTATGTGACTCTCGTGAATTTTGTTGTCGACAAAACTTTCCAAAGAACTGGCATCAATGTAGGAATCTTCAATATCCTTTTGCATTTATGAAGGAAGCACTCGCCCTTTTCCACAAAAGTTCATCCCCTGTGGCTTTCTTGGCTTCTCCCCTTTTGCATACCTAAACTTATGCATTTTAATGCAAAGATACGATCAGTCTGACCTTTTCGCTAATGGGTTACGTGAGAAATGTAACATCCATATTAGGTATGCAAAAGAGATGTTTACTGATTTTGACATCTTAGCATCCCTATATTAACAGTATATTTCTTGAGCATTTAGTCTTCAGTTGCTGTACACGCCACATCTTCCAAGTCCAACACAAATATAATAGCATACGTCGAATGAGGAAATGTCAACAGTTCCAGATTCTGCCCTGAATCAAGAATAGGGCATCATTTCAAGGCAAACATGTGACTTAAACCATCTTAAGCTTCGCATGTTGAGAAAATAAATTAAAAAA